GTCCAAACTAACTGCCCACAGCTACACACGTCAGTTAAACATTAATTCAAACTAACTCCTTAGTTCGAATGAACTGTTACTCCTCATTCCACTAAGGAGTTAGTTCGAATTAACGTTTAACTGCCGGGCAGTTAGTTCGGACTAAGGGGGATTTAAAAATGGCAGCGCCCAGGAACATGCAAATGAAGCCCAGGGTATTTAAATCCCAGGCTTCATTTGCAACTCCGGTTGCCCTCATTACCCTGCCTAGCTCAAACTAACAAGCTAGTATAGACATACTGTGAGGGGTTCACTCACCACCGTAGCGGGGGTCTGCTGTCTGCCTCCAGGATCAGCTCCTTCTGCTGGGGGGGTACCTTCCCTCTGGTGGGGCTTCCCCTCTCCTCCAGGCTGCGTCCTCTTCACCACACTGCCCTCCGGCAGTGCCCAAGTCCATCTCTGAGCCCCCCTTCCAGGAGTAGCTGTTTCTCCACCAGGCCTTTATACAGGCCCTGCAGTCTGGGGGTCTGTTTGGCTAGAGCTCCCCTAGCCCTGCCCTGCCTTAGCTCCCCTAGCCCTGCTCTAGCTCCAGGGAGCCTCCTGCTTCCCCAGCAGCCAGGCCCGGCCTCCCTCAAAGGGGCCACCCATGCTCTTATATAGCCCCCAGCTGGGCCCTAATCCACTAATGCAGCCTCAGCTGGGGCTAAACTCCCAGGCCCTGCTCCAGGCTGGGGTTTGCCCTTAAAGGGCCAGTGCAGGGCGAACGCCCTGTCCCACATACCCTGGGTTCTTTTCTTCCCCTTCAGGGAATCACTCGGAGCAGGTCCGCGTGGGCTGTGCCCTGAGCGACCAGACCCCTGTGGACCTGTGTTTCCAATTCGCCTTCGACGGGCAGGACTTCATCAGCTTCGACAACCAGATGGGCACGTGGGTGGCGGCCGTGCCCGTGGCCTTGCTGCAGAAGCAGCTCTGGGAGACACACGGTACCTGGACTCTGTCCTGTGGACCTGTGTTTCCAATTCGCCTTCGACGGGCAGGACTTCATCAGCTTCGACAACCAGATGGGCACGTGGGTGGCGGCCGTGCCCGTGGCCTTGCTGCAGAAGCAGCTCTGGGAGACACACGGTACCTGGACTCTGTACGTCCAGATTTTCCTGCAGGTTGAGTGTCTGGACATCCTGCGGAGCCTGGTGCAGCAGGGACGGGGGTTCCTGGAGCGGCAGGGTTGTCTGAGGGGAGGTGGGGGATGGGTTATAACCTCTCCCCTGTGTAAGGGGGGCTGGGGGGCACAGGGAG